ACAGCAGCAATTATGGTATATAAATACTACTTGGAACATGATGTAACTGAAAAGTGGACAACTTCACATTTGTTTCAGAACACTGGAGATGCGTATAGTTGCAAATATGAAAAGTCAGGTAACCAAGAGAAAAACTGGAACATTTCTGTGCAAAATAATAATATTAATTTAAAAAAATCACTGTTAATTAATTTAGGCTCAAACATGCAGCTTGAGCTTTGAGTATGGTGCTTGGACGACATTAAATCCAGCAGTGAATATTGTCTGGGTTGACTGAGGACAAGTTCATGCACAATAACCACATGCAATTTGGGATGTTTTATCAACATTTGTTTGGTTATTTTAATGCAGCATTTTATAAACAGGATTGTTAGAGTTAGGCTCAGGAAATGTAGCAATAATTAAATAACTACCACAAAGTGCAAATGGAAAGTAAAAAAAAAAAAAAAAGGTTTTGAGGGGGGGCTTAAAAGTTTAAAATCCTTGATATAAAAAAAGACATTCAGTTGGAACTATTTGTAAGGATGGTGACCTCTGTGGTCACACTGCGTCTCATCCTGTTAATTGTCCAGATCAGTATCACCTGTACATCCTGTCCAGCTGTTTGTAATTATGTCGCATCTTGTCCGTGTATTTAAGTCTAGGTGTGTTATTCATTGTCAGTTCATCATTGGGTATGGTCTCATCCTGTCCTGGTCTTGTCTTGTTTATATCCAGTCATGTAAGTTTTGTTGCCATGTCAGGCTATTTACTTTCCTTATTAAAGTATATTTATTTTTACGTCCTGGCCTCCGAGTCCTGCCTGCACCACTGGGTTCAATCCTGTTCTGTCTTGCCTGACAATCCTGCCACTATTTTGATAAGTGGATTACCAGGATACTGTAAGTGTACTGTCTTCTGTCTTGTTCTGATTGTTTTGAGAGCTGATTTGATCTGATGTGGTCATCTTGTTGTAAAATTCTTTGTGTCAGTCATGCTGCAGCAGTCTAAACTCTCCAGCATTGTGTTGCTCATAAACGACATCGCTTCACAAAATGGATGTTACAGCACCCGTCAAGTAAGTCGACGTGAAGGAGGATGTTTGTCATTTCAGCTTGTCAAGCACATCCTGATTTTTGTTACTTGTTGCGCAAAGGACAAATTTGTAAACAGGCAGAGCAGCAGCGCAGAATCTGTGAACAGGTTTGTTGCTAAAGGCATTCAAATGACTGAACAACAGCCAAAAATGTCCAGTCATTGCAGATATTTAAAAAACTGCTTGTATGTGATGAAACTTTTTAGTTACGTTTTTGTTTGAAGACATTTTTGTGCCAGTCATACTGCGTATTGTATTTTCTCCTTAGTGATAGCTACTGTTAAATAAAGAATCTGCAGTGAGTTCTGCTTGAAATGCTGATATAAACTCTAACTCTGACATGATTTGCATGAGCCAGGAGATGGGTGACAATAAAATCTCAGTTTTAGAGATTGTACAAGTAAAATCAGTTGAAGGAGACTTCAAATGTCCTGGTGTGTCAATGCTGAAGTAAATAATGGACATCTAAACCAAAGAGCAAACCCAGTTTGGTACCAGTTAGATAGGTCCAGATTTATTAATGTAATTCCATCCATCCATCCATCCATCCATCCATCCATCCATCCATCCATCCATCCATCCATCCATCCATCCATCCATCCATCCATCCATCCATCCATCCATCCATCCATCCATCCACATCCATCCATCCATCCATCCATCCATCCATCCATCCATCCATCCATCCATCCATCCATCCATCCATCCATCCATC